GACCAGCACGAGTCACCATGGCATTTCCATCACCTGTACATGTATGAGCAGATGTACATGAAAAATATGCACGACCATAACCACTATATCATATAAATCATATATATATATATATAATTATTTTCAATAAATCATATTCATACCCAGTAGCTAAAATTGTATTATTAGCTCGAAATCGATGAAGACTACCATCTTCAAGATTCATTGCAATAACACCAACACATTGTGTATTATCTTTATTCATGAATAAATCAAGTGCAAAGTATTCAATAAAATAATCTGTATTATATTTCAGAGACTAAAGCAAAAGAAACAAGAAAAACGTTAAATCGATATGCTTCTTTTCTAATGAAATAGTTATCACAACTGTAATCCGTTCTTTAAGACCGTATTTGGTTTTTCCTAAAGTCCTATCTCAATCCTATGGTTCAAGTAGGAATTCGTAACTTATTAAAAAGTTCCGCTAATGGGTTAAAATTTAAGATTGATAGGCTTTAATGTAAAGGATTTACAATGGACATACTGAACTTTTCCGTAGGATTCAAAAGAAACGTTTTTGATTTTCTACTATCAAATAAGGGGGTCTAATGTCATGAAATTTGTTTTCTATATTGAAATTAAACTCAAACACTAAGTTACAGTCAAAGTTTAAAATATTTACTTCGCCGTAGAGTGTATGTAACATAGCATGACCTGTACGATCAGCAACACAACAACAACGACGTGCTTGACCACCTCGACCATAATCATATGATTGACCACCAAATGCACGTTGTAAAATTTTTCCATCAGGTGTACGACTGAATGGCATACCAATATTTTCAAGCTTTATAATAGAAGAAAAAAAAAAGAAAATTGAATACAAGAATAATTTCATATTGTTATAAAGATACTTCAACAACAGCACGTGGAGCTTCTTCAGCCATATAATGTATAGCATCTTGATCACCGAGCCAATCGGAACCTTTAACTGTATCATACATATGCCATCGCCAATCATCACGTTCCATATTTCCTAAAGCAGCATTAATACCACCCTAAAATTTTTAAATATTTTTTTTTTAAATCTTAATTTGAATAATTGAAAACATGTTTACGAACTTGAGCAGCAACAGTATGACTACGAGTTGGAAATAATTTACTAATGACAGCGGTTTTAAAACCAGCTGTTGATAGACCATAAGCAGCACGAAGACCGGCACCACCAGCACCAACTACTACGGCATCATAATTATGATCGATAATTTTGTAATTTGAAGCAACCTAATATGAAAAATAAGTAGAAAAAAAAACGTCAAAACTTTTAAAATCATACATGAGCGCCAGTAGTATGTTTTGCATCGGTGTTACGTGTCTGAGATGTTTGAACTGCCAATGTACGTGATAAAACCTAAATAAAAATTTATGTTTGATATTTCATAGATAAGAAAAACTTACATTTGGTCGTAATGAATTTAAAGTTGGACAGAGATTTCGTGATGAAATTCTCGACAAAAAACTCATTTTTTTTTAACTTCAATTAAAACAACAAACACAAGATCGGGTACACGCAGGAAAAAAGTGCCCTCTTTCTTTCTATATGAGAAAGTCCGTTTCTATGAATCATTCTTGTTAGATAATTCGTTGAAACTATCAATTAAATTTTACCATTTAAAAATAAAATATATGTTGGTTTTATAAAAATTCAACGAAAAAAAATATTATTCGTTTCAGAATACAATTAGAAATATTACTAAAATTTCGTTTCAAATTAGGGTACTGCATAGTGGCTTGCATTATGCGCCATCTAGCGAAATCCCAAATGGCATAACGTGTAGGTTAAATGAACTTCACTTTAATTTGTAGGATTATATTAAAGAAATTTGAAAATATTGGTTTGATATAAGAAACTTGTGTTCTTTGCAAATATGACTTCAAAATTTTTGTAAAAGTAATTTAAAGTAGAAGGGATGGTTAGACAATAATGAGTATTTTTTTTTCATTCGAAACACCACATCAACTTAGGAAATTTCCTTGATTCCTATGAAAAACAGATTTGCAAAGTGCATTTCGGAATGATAGCTCTGAAATTCTTGATTTTGAAATAACGTTTTAGAGCGTCAATTTTCCTCATTCATACTTCATTTTTTTGCGCCTCCTGTTTTCTGCAGACTCCTTCAAGAAGCTGTTTTATTCTATATTCACATCGGATAAGTGTGAGATTAGTTCAATTATTGATATAGCAGAGTTAATTCTTCAAAAAAGCGTGCTATAATTTTTATTTGTGAGAATACTTCAATTAAAACACTATTTTCAGATAACGAACGCCATCAATAATGCGTTGGTCATACTTTCCGTTTAATCTTTGCTTGCAAATCGACTTCCTATTGATGATAAGAATGCATCGAATAGAAACGATGATTATCCAACATCAATATCGTTTTCCATCTCAAAATATTATTTGATGTTTTCGAACAATATAAACGTTTTGTTTGCTATCGGAAAACACAGTCTTGTCATTGAAGTAGACTAGTGAGTATAAAACGATTAAAATTTGTAATTAAATCGCCTGTGTAGGTTTATTATTGGATATACTAAAAACAATACATTAGTAGGTAATTCTCTTTAGTGTTGATAAAACTCTCTTGACTTCATTGATCTATTAGCAAATTTTGATCATGAAGGCAGTCAAATTTTTTCAATTAGAGATGAACAAGCAGAAAAACTGAACAATATTCAAACGAAAAAAAAAAACAAGAGATTGAACCTATAAAAGTAAACTTAAGATTGTTTTTACTTTTCTAAATCTCAGCGTTGAGATGTCTAAAATCTTGAAAAATGAATAGATATTGTCTACAAAACTAGAGCCTATTTTAAAAACTCCTTTCGCTCATTCAAAGAAGTATTACGTAACTTGAATGAATGATGTGGAAAAACCAAACCTATGCTGGAGTTTCACAGTATAGCTTGTCAAAGGCATGGGAAAGTTCAATTTTTAATCGGTTCTGTAGATTTATGATTTAAATAGAAGAACTTTATTTTGCATCGGAATGCTAAAAACCCCATGAAGTACCCAAAGGTTTCCTGTGACATACTGGATACCAGAATATCCTGAACTCAGTACATTTACTAAGATTTGTTCATGTCACTTAAATTATTCATTGGGAATATGATATAGCTGATATCGGGTACGTACAAGAAATTTATTGAATATCAATAATTAGCGTTCATTGGATGTCAATTTATTCATCCATAGACCTGCAAAATGTAGTACAAAATGATGACTGTCTTATAAATTGTTGAAATGTACTGTAATTGGTTTTTTTCTTTGTCGATGAGTATAGTAAAAGAGTTACATTTTGATCAGTATCAAGAAGAAATCGAAAAGTTGACCTGTTAAAATTTATTACTACAATAATTCAACTATTGTTTGTTTACATGTTTCTAGAAAAGAAATCCTATCGATCGAACTCAAAAGTTTTAATCAAAGCCTGAGACAATTTTTAGCAGCTCTCAGTTATCTGAATCATTGCATTATTAAGTAGAGAGGCTAGTCAGATCTCCATCAAAGTTCGTTGATCACTTGTAAGACATATTCTATCATTGTATGAAAACGTAGTATTCATTAAGCTACGCTTATTCAACGATACCAGTCGCTAGTAGATGTCCTCTTTTCACTGACGTCTTCCATCTGTCTCTCTTCGCTTCTCGTCTCGTGCATGTCTCGACCTTCATGATGGTAAACGAAACAGAAAGAAAAGCATATGACTCATTGTTACACGGAAGAAAACTTGCACAAGACAAAAACATGAGATAGTTTCTCAATCGATTCAAACGACAACAAATGGAATATACAACGACTTTCAACGATTTATGTGCAGATTTATTGTTGAATATTTTTGAATTCTTTACATTAAATGAAATTTATTATTCGTTTCATGAGGTTATTCCATATCTGACATCATTATTGGTAAATTCCAAAGCTCGACTTCGCATGTGTGATTTAATCATTCCTGAAGTTCAACCTACAATAGTTGCATCACTTGAACTGCAATATCTTTCACGATCATCGTCACCATTGTTATCTGATTTTATCAATCTTCGCTCACTAGTTTTGCATGATATGGAAGATCCGTGGTTAATTATCAATCAAAATTTTGCAGAATCACTTGAACGCTTATATTTGAACATTTCATTGAGAAACAAAAATACTATCATTGCAGAATTTCTCTCATTTGTTTTTCGTTTGTCAAAGTTAAAGTATTTCACAATTATTTATCCGAGCTCTTATTTCATTGTACAAGAAGATTCATTTATTCCTCCAAAATTGTCGACTACTATTGAAAGTCTTAAACTTGACGTGAAATGTTCAATGCTTTGTTTGGACAAGCTACTTAAATATTTACCATCCATTCGTCATCTTCATGCAACGGTGGCTTTCACTGAAGAAAATATCGAGATCTATTCTCGAGCTTCGGTGTTTCCAACAGTTCAGTATTTGTTTCTTTCATGGGAATATATTCCTATTCAAGACGTTATTCGATTCTGCCAGACAATGCCCTGTTTAAGACAATGTACATTGGATGCTACAGATTATCGTGATGATCAAGATCTATTTTATCCAAACACATGGCAACAATTCATTGAACATGATCATAGTATGCTCAAAAAGTTTCAAGTCAATATGACACGTAAACCCTCACATGATTTTCATCGCAATTCACACTGGCTTTCTCTGAATCATAATCCCTATTTTCGTGAGATCAATTTCAAGTTCAAAATGGACAACTGGGGAAATACTATTCTCAATGGTAATTACGCGAAGTTAAGATATAGACTTCACGATTTGAAAGTGTAAATGTCGGCATGTAGGTGTAGCTCTTCTTTTTATCCATAGCTACATGCCATAAGAAAGTAAAGATAAAAAGAATTGTTCAGTAAAGTGGAAAATTATCATGGAATTAGCATTACTATATATCTTCATTGGAAAATGATATATACTCCAAAACAAAATGAAGCTTCTACCACCAAAGATATAAGTCGGAATCAATCGACTTAATTAAATAGTTATCAAGTAATTCTTCTGATTCGATAAGAGTCTTCAATATTCCAATCATTGATTTACGTGTATTTTTTATACAAATTGAATACAAATATTGAATATTGTGTTTAGTTTTCAATAGTATAAATCGCATGATCGATTCAAGATATTGTGCATATATATCAATTGTAAGATATTGCATTCGGGGACATAAAGCAACAAATAGTTCGGTATTTTCTGATGAATATCTTTCTTTAATAGTCACATTTGTAATATTATTTGTATTCGATACTAATCGAAATGTTTCACTTTGTTGAATCATCATAGAATTTGATTTGTCAATTGATTGAGAATCGAATGTTAATGTATGAATATTAGAAGTAAAACGTAATAATTTGATTAATTGATCAAAAGAGAAAGTGTCGCAATCAATGACTAGTGTAGTCAATTGTTTTACAGGAATAATATTTTGAAGAATGATTCGAAGCCATACACGACTTTCAGCAAAACCATGCGAAAGAGTAAGTTTCGTAGCATTTCGAAAATAACTTCCGCAATTTATAATAGCTTCTTCACCTTGAATTTTGACATGATCCACAGAATTTATTTGGCTTCTTCGAGAACGTAGACGAAAATTTTCGGTCAACTGTGTATACAATGTGTATTGTTTTCTTCTATAAAAATTTAAAATAATCTAGCAATATGACATGAAATCGAAGAATTTTTACCTATACGGATTTATTGAATAGAAAATGACGTGTTTTCGATATGTTTCCATGTAAAATTGACATTCAAAGAACCACTTTCGTTTGAACCAAAACGAAGAACAAAATTGATTAAATACAGAATCATATATAAACTGATTATTATCATTGATATTTTCTATAAAATCAATATGTTGAAAATCAAAAATACGTAAATTAGGCATAAAAGATAATATTAATTGTTCCCATCGATTTGCATCGAGATATGTTCTATCATATTTTGTTGTGACATGTAAAATTTGAAGTTGATTAAACAGATATTTACTCATCAATTCAAATTTGTCTAAAGAGATATCTTTCATATGAATAGAAACATGTATTAAATTTTTTGAAGAACATGAAAATGTTTCTAATTGATTGCTACGAGTTCCATCAAGATAATGAAATGTTAAACGACGAACTTGAGGAATATACGATAATAAAGCATTGAGATTATTAAGGTAAAATTGATGTGTAATAACAAGATGTTCAATAGGACTTGTCAGATTTGTTGCCATCGGTAATGAATAATAATCAGAATATTCTTTTAATGATATTTTACAATATTTCAATGCTGGCAAACGAAATATATGTTGATAAATTTCATTTGGATTTCGATAACAATCAATAGGAATCACAACTAATGATGAGAGATTAGATAAAGAAGATAAATGATTGAGAATATTGATAAGATATTTTGATTTTATATTATCAAATAGAAGTGTTTCTAATCGAGTAAAATTTGATGTGACACGTACTGGAGAAAAAATAAAATCGACAACGAATGGATTCGATAGATATAATGATATAATTCGATGTTTATTAGGCATGATAATATGTCTATAATAACTTTGAAAATTTGATTTCGACATAAATGAAATATTGATTTTTAAAGGAAGTGTTGAATTTGTAAGAAGACTTTGTAAACGTATATTAAGATTGTAAAATGCTTTATATACATAATAAACATCAAGATAATTAAAAATTTCATAGAAGATTTCATTAGAAAGATCTTCCATGAGTGTAACAGATTTTCTTGATGAACTAAACAGACAAATGATTAGATTTAACAAAAAAGAATACAAAGAGATATTCTATAGTGACTGACCTCTTTGACTCTTCTATGAATTTCTTTTTCTTGCTAACACTCCAATAATCAAAAATACTTGTACGTCGTTTTGGTTTTGTTTGTTCCATATTATGCTTAAGAACAAGAATTTTCGTAAACAGTAAATTAGTTACCACGCGAAACAAAAAAATTGTTTTTTCAATACACGTTATTTACAAAAAGAAGTTGATGTGTAATATCTTATTCTGTTACTAATCTATGTCCTTAGATATAGCAGAATAGAAAGAAAAAAAAAACTATACCAATGTTGGTTATTTCTCGAAGGAATAAAATAAAGTTGGATTTTTCCAATATTACTCATAGGTTTCGATTTTTGACTAATATTTTACGTATATATATAAAAAGAGAAGTGTAACTATAGTTAAGAGAAACCAATGAAAACAAAAAACAAAGATGTAGAAAAGAGGTCCTTATATTCATTTCTATCTGTTTCATACTTTGATGAAAATTAAAGCAAAATTTATCACATGTTGAGCTTTCAATTGACAGACAATAGTAGAAACGAATACATCCGACTATTAGGATGTGGATGTGAGTGAAGAGAAGGCACCGATATCTTCAATGAAAGTTTGAAAGCCAACTAGTTGTTGTTTCTACCTCTGGATGTATATGAAGCACGCAAACACGAGTAAAACTTGACAACGGATGAATCTTAGAGATATGCGATTGGAAACAACACTTAATCTGATATTGTTTTCTTTTTTCAGGAAGTTTTTCGTATTCATTAATCGTATGCGAGATAGATTAACAATAACTTTGTCTAAATTACGTCATTATTAACGAAATAAATGCAGCTAATAATTGAGCATGTATTCGAATTCGTTTAGTGATAACTGTTGATTGGCGAACTTTACAGAGAATGCTGAGAAGAACAGTTTTTTATCTTCTAAAACCGACATTACGTTATCTGTAACTTTTCCAACTTTCTCAAGAGACTTTTAATCAAGATAAACTTGCTTTATTCATTTGTGCCTCTCGTATTTATTGTACAACTGTCTCTTTCTTTATTAATATTCAAATACATAATGCAATGCTATCGTCATAAAACATATCTCAAGAACAGCTCCTTTTAACCGATATATTTCTGAGTGTAACATAAACGAAATGTTTTCCAATGTATTACCAGGCTTTTATTTCATAATAAATTTTTTATTCAAAATCCACATCATTATTTAACTTGTTTGTGAAAGAGCTCATTTATGCCATATCAAAGAACGTATTATAAATTCTGCTCTCTAACGCATTTCTAAAAAAATTCATTTTTGTCATTAATAGAACGCTAAAAACATGCGTTTAGATTCATGCCAAATAATCGCTTCAAACACATGAGAGCAAGCGCACATGAAAGAAGATAAAAATAGCATTGCTTGGAGAGAAAAAAACACGTTCGGTGTGGGTGTAAGTGTGGGGTATGGGTGTGGGTATGCGTGTAGATCTTTTGATTTAATTCGCACCTATACCCACCACACCCACACCTGAAGAAAAAGCTTCTTTTTATGTTACAGCGTTACGCGACCAAAAGCCTCTTCTGAAAGCTCGAGTGTTTAAACAAAAAACGTCGTTTTTATGACATAAATAGAGCACAATAAGCTGCGTCGAATGGCATTTGAACAAACTTTCTAGCTCTTATAGTTTTCGGGATAATTGAAAAGCGTGTGTCAAAAATGTCACAGCGTTACGTTT